CTGATGCTGCTGTTAAGCCGCTCCATATATCTAGTAATAAACCATTCAAGCTCTTGATCTTGATCGATAATCCCCTTCACATACCTTGTCATAAACTCTTCAGACTATTGATGAAGTCAATAATTCCCTTCATATACCTTACCATAAACCTTTTAGGTGATTGATGAAACCAATAACTCCTGTCATATGCCTTTTAATAAACCTAATTGACCATTTGGGATGACCATAAACGCTTCCAAATATCCTTGCTAAGTGGGATGCTCGAGTATAGTGATTTCATCAATCCAATCAGAGAAGGTTTAGAAGAATATTTGCAGAGTTTTATGACTTTCATGAACTCTCATGAGGAGTTTATGAAAGTGTAACGTATAGAAAACCTTTTTAGAATTTATGAATCTTATGAACCCTTTCGTAAACCTTTTCAGAAGAGTATTTTAAATTCATAAACCCTTTAAGCGTTTATTATTCTGCATTTTTTTCGGTGATGGCTTAAGAGAAGATCAACTTTTATGTTCATCTCCACCCTACCCTCACGTCGATACCGTATGATATTGTTCAAAGGTTTTTCAGTATCACTTTTTTTTATTGTTGTGTAGTGCAAAAGCATTTCAGGTAGACTTTGAGATAGACTACTGCAAAACGCGAATCTTTTCACTTTGTTCTCATCGGCATGAAGATTTTACTATTGTGTCGATAGCATTTTAATATCTATTATGATGAAAATCTTACATTATCCTGATAGTTCAACACTCGTCTATTGATTAACTAAACACGATGCATAGTATCGGTAGAAAAGCAAGCAAATTAATTATGTAATATACAGACTTCGTCAATGGCTTAACACTAATGAGAATGATAGATAAGCGTTAGATAGACACAGAAAATTGAATCAAGGAGACTACTAACTAGCAAACATTTATCAATCAACCTTCTAAAAGAGAAGTCGATCATTAAGATCGATTTCATATCTGTCTCAATCGTGTCTAATGTGTAGAACATATCTGCACTATGCGGGCATCATTTAATAAACTTGTTTCTGATTGTGGTATTATTCTAATAAATTACTCACCACAACAAAAACAGAAAACCCAGTGGATGCAGAAAGTTTTGTAGCCAAAAACTTCTTGATTTGACTTGGCTTTGTGTATGTAACACTGTTTGCTTGTTCTGTCAATTGATTCGTTTTTGTACCTTTGCAGTAACGCAACTTTATTCATGGTACGTTATTTTGCATATTTTTCTTCCTGTCTTATTTTTTATTTTCTCTTGCTATATACTTTATTACGAATGGATTTACATAATATGCGCATAGAAGCCTATACACAACGAAACATGTGCACGAAACAATATGATTGAATGATTCACACACAGTGAATCTTGCACACGAAATAAAAACAAAACACATTTATAACTTAAACAGTATCGAAAAGTAAAACGAGATAGGAAAAGTTTTAGATTGTTTGTTTATTTTGAAACCCATAATGTGCTATATTTATAAAATATATATGAACACGAAGCCTTGAAATAAAAAAATTTGATAGTTATTCTCATATGCAATTGACGTCGAGTTATTGCAATCGTACATATTCATCTTCATATACTTCGAGCTTTTCATTATTGAAAAAAAACCTATTTTAAAGATATTAGGACATCAAAACGACTCAATGTCTAATAACGACGACATTTTATTTAGTGTATACGATCAATACATACTCATTTATTAATTAACATCTTAATATACCCAGGTTAAAAAAGCACGGTCGTAAACGGCGTTCGTATACGATCGTATATTTATCGTGTTCAACGCTATGTAACTCTCTTTGTATAAAAGATTTTCTCTAATAATTATATCGGTTACATTCGCACAATGAATGGTAAATCGACTTGTCCACGTAACGCGACACTTCGCTGATCAAGTTTCGAAAAAATTGTTTTTCGAGTTGGACAAATCTGAATGAGTTGCTAGATGCAGTTTTTAACGCTGATTACGGATTCGAAATTTATTTTGTAAAAAAGTTAGGTTTTAGAATCGAAAACCGGGTTTTAAACTTGTGAAAAATCATATTTTGAATTTTTTAACCAAAAAAATTTTGAAAAAATATTGAGAGGCATATCATTCGATGAAGAATTTAATTCTCTACAAAATGGTCTATTTAGTTTTGACTTTCGTAAGTAAAGACAAATTGCAGACTCTTACACAGTTTCCAACTTACTGTCCGGTTTATGCGTTACGTTTGTATTTTGCATTTTTCATCTGAGCAAAAATGCTTTAGGAAAAATCTTTTTTACTGCCTAAAAGCTTGTTCGATGCTATACAAAACTGACTCTCGAAAGTTTTCATTTGGAGAAATAGTTTCGCTAGAAATTAGAGTTTTCTCGGCGGTACTGGAAAAAAAAGGGTCTTTTTATATAACAGCGTTACGCGATAATAAAACCTTTCTAGACGTTCGAGACTTCAGCCGAAAAAGGTCGTTCTTATAGCATTAATAGAGTTTGATAAGCTGTATCGAATGGCGTTTGAATGAACTTTCTAGCTATTAAACCTTCCGAGTGAATTGAAGAACAGTGTGTCAAAAACGTAACAACGTTACGTTTGGACAAGCCGAAATACGCTTTGTTATAAGAAACAATTTTTTATGGACAATCCCTCTCGATGGCGCAATGAACAGTAAGTGTTATTTTAAACTAAACAATCTTTTTCTCTTTTTGTTTATATATATATATATCAATAGCAAGGCGAACAGTATTATTTTATTTAAATAGATTTCGTTTTTAAGTTTTAAACTATTTATAACAATGAATCGAACAGTAAGTATTAGCTTAGATAAATTGGGGTGCCCAATCAAATTGGACACTCCAAATATTAGTCTTTTTTTTATCTGGAGAATGGGGAGGAGAAGGTACGAAAAACTGATGCATTATACCATGACAAACGACGCTGTATATCACTGTGTACGATCGTTTACGGTGGTCGTATTGACGTCTTATACGGCACGACGATATACGGTCGTAGTTCTGATGTTAAGTAATACGATGAAATACGGTTGTATACCATCGTAATTTACACCGTATACGACTGTACACGATCGTATGCGACTGTCTTAATGCTCGTTCTGGGTACTCAAGAAAATCTCTTTGAACAAAGTGCTTCAATTACTAATAATTCAGTAGAAATATTATAATACGAAGGTCTCAAAAAGTTTTCTAAATCTATCAGCACATGAATGATACTGACAGGAATAGCTGCTGATGTTTTTCGATAGTCCCTAATAGCCTATTGCAGATCATAAGAGAAATCTTAATGAAGGCATAGAAGGAGGTGTAGGTGTGAGTTTTATAGTCAGCAGTTCCATCATTTACTAGAATACTTAGTCCGCACTTAGCTCTACTATCCACCCTCACATCCTCATTAAGAAACTCTTTTGGATAGGAACGCATGTATACAGTTATTTGTATTCATCAACAGACGAAGATGATTTACGAGGCTGACGGATGAAAGGATGTCGTTGTGGGTTATGTGTATGGATGACGAGGGCACGACCTACCCACACTCCACTGTGTGAGTAAAGTGCAAAATACGGTATAGATACAGTACCTGTGTTTTTAAATAGAAAAATAATTACATCGTATAACTTTTATTAATGTTATTTCTCTATAGTGTGCATTGTGTTATTTCGCTATTATGTTATAAATCTTTGATAAAACAGATTTATATAATGAACTCAATCAAATCCAATACATAAATTTCTGTTGACTTGAATTTCTTGCCTATATCTATCATGGTATGTCGAGATTTCAAATTTTTGTCTCTACATTACAGAGTTTAGATCGTGTTTCATAAAAAAAGATCGATAAACGACATTTGATCAAAAATGGAACTCACTACCTACCTGCCTGCTCTATCACAGTTAAAAAAGATGAAATGAAAAAAGACTTTGTTCCATTCTGGATATAAATATTTGACTTAGCCAGATGTGAATGCTATAGCGTCATCGTTGCTCCCGGACGTTTTTTCTCGTTCCTTGTATCGCTTATTATCACGAACGTCGCTAAAAGAGAAAGTTTAGCCAAGTATGAGGATAGTAATGTGTATTCAAAAAGACTTCCATGGATATGGTAGTAGAGAAGGAAAATAAACTGGAAGAGGAATACAATATAGAGAATGCAGACAAAATGTTAGAGCATACGGTGAGAATAAAAAGTCATGTGAATCAGTAGTGACTATGATCGATAGCTAAAGTGTTTGCAATTTTACCCCACAATTTTCACTACCTATATAAATCTACAATTCCCTCGACTGAAGGAAGGATCATGTGAAATAAAATGTGTTTGTTTGTTTGCTTGTTTGATTGGGGTCAATGGTCAACTACAAAATTAAAACGTCTCAAAATGGGCCATCCAGCTGGAAATTCAGCCCCTCAGATGGCTTTCTTCATAGGATCCCAACCAGTGGGATTTCGAGAGCCCCCATTTCGGCCAATCACGTACTTATCTTCTTCTGGTCTCAACCAATAGGATTTCAACAATACGAGATTCAGCCAATCCGATGATTTTGCCATCAAGGCATCAACCAATAAGATTGTAAGAGTCCAGATTTCAGTCATTCAGATGCTTTTCTCGTTAAAGCCTCAACCAATAGGATTTCAAGAGTCCAATTCTCAGCCAATCCAATGATGTTTTCATCAAGGCATCAACTAATAAGATTTCAAGAGCCCAGCTTTCAGCCAATCCGATGATTTTTGCATTCAAGGCATCCGTCAATAGAATTTTGAGACATACATTAATTAAAAACATGGAATTTTTTAACATAAAAATTGTAGTAATAGGACGAGCAACACAAAAAATAATATCTAAATCAAAAATTGATTTAGTAGATTTTATTTACTATTCAATAGCGCCACAAGATATTACAAGACGAGATATAATAAATTGTTCGTTTAATTTTCGGCCATTTCTATGAGGCCATCATCAGAACATATATTTGATGGAACATATAATAATCAATTTTTAATCAATTTCATAATGATTGTTGTACAATTATTTGTACGACATGAATGAAATAAATAAATATCCAAACCATTAAATGAAAGTAAACCTATATCATAAACATTACCACTTGATACAGAATTAACATCTAAT